GCTGGAGTAGTTCTGAAGTACCTAAAAATTATTTGTTTATTATCTCAAGATAGCTCTGAAACGGCTAAATTAATTTTGATGAAATGTACGGTTCCTGCAAATCATGAGCTTGGCGTGTAAGCTGCTTGACAATTGATACACCAGTATCATTATTGGAATTGAGTGTGATTTCTTTTAGAGAGGAAAATAAAATTTTAAGGCATTTTGAAAAATAAACAGTCATTGTCAATTAAATTTAAAATGATAATAGAGGTATGTCATTCTGCTATAGACTAAGTTTTCACTTATCTTATGAAAAAAATTGTATTATGTCTGTAGGATAATATAACTAAACTTACCGTAATTACAACTTCCACATCAAATATTCTCGTAATTTTACTCGTCACCCGAATCTAGTGTTTGATATTTAATCTCCAAATCCCTTTGCACCTTACCACAGTCTAAGCATGAAGACTATGCAGATTTTATTTTATCTGTGGGGTTTATTAGACGTGAGATTCTGTCGTGGTTTTATTCAATATTTTATTTCAAAATATCAATTTAGACACATTTATTTTATTTATATCCCTTCCTTGGTCATATTACGGTCTCTGGGGACTAAAGTAACTAAAGCACCGTTTTTTTTAATTGGCCGAAAGAAAGGAAAACAAACAAAACCGCGATTGCTCATTAAATCAATTTGTCACTTATTACTTGTTTTTAAGTTTATTAAAATATCAATTGAAAACGCGATATATTTTAGTTAAACTTTTTTGGGAAATATGGGAAATTTAACTATAGCCGTGGTCACGAGGAAAAAAATGATTCTCAAACGAAGTTTCATTAAAAAAATAAAGCGTTTTATTTAAAAAAATATTGTTATCACATTAGAATGTTCTAGCTTATGTTGTTTTGGTTCATTTGATCATTTAACTTTCACTACTGGCACGTTTCAATACTGTAGCCGACTCTTCAGATCGTAATACGAAATAAACTCGGCTAAGAAAATATTTGAACTCTACAATATTCATGGCCCCGAGCGGACTTTTTAGGTCATTTTATTTTTAAGAATCCACAATAGAAACATTTTTATAGCGTATTACCTGACAAGCAATTGTATTCGCGGCTTTGTCTGCGGCATTTTAAAAGTATACGAAACCAATAAATAGGTATATAATAGTTATAATTAGCGTTTACTTTTATTTTAAGTAAAATAATGAATATACTAAAGCTTTTTATGTGAAAACGGACATATTACTGTATCCACACCATGTAAGATACGGATTTTCTAATTAAAATAAAATTTTGGAACCTTAAGTTCAAATACTATATGCATAAAATGAAATCTTATATACCAGGAAAATATGTTTTATGTAAGTATTTAATATTCTTTATCATAGGTTATATAAGATGAATACTCCTGCCAATATTACTTTACTAAGATTACCCAAATGATTTTACCTAATATATTTTTATTCAAATTAGTGATTTACATCTCACACCTTGGCGTGAACTTTATTATATTGTGAAAGCTAATGTACTGAAACATTAAAGTACACAATTTTAACTTTATAGATATTTTCTCACGCTTGCATATAATATTATTACAGCCTGATACTGACGCTCAGGAGAATCGTTCAATTTCTATCTCACAAAGAATGCATAATGCTTAGGGTTGTCACAAATGAAAAAACTAAAATGCATATTAAAAAATAGTCTAAAGGTTTAAATAAGAAAAAAAAAACTTACTCTTTAAAATTTCAAAAATTATTTAGATTCGTTAAAAACATTTTGTCTGTCTGTCTGTCGTGAATCTACAGAGCTTGATGTGTTTTCCGAGATCATAATCGTATCAAAAATAAAAAATAAAAATCATTTATTCATGTAGTTAGCTTAGTAAACTTATGAACGTCAAGACAGTTAAAAATTTAAAACTTTAAATTTACAGTTACTACTAGTTCCCAAGTCTTCTCGTTCGTTCTACGCCCTGTAGAACGAACGAGAAGAACTGGCAAAAAATTCGCCGCCACTCCTTTTAATTGCCAAGTTTTTATTACATTTCCTTAAATTCCTTACGCAGTCAACCCCATACCCCAAGCATTTTTATCATATAAATATTACTTTACTTTATAATAACCCTTTCCAAGCAGTTTTTCTTTAACATACGGTTTAAACTTATTTATCAACAGTGTTTTTACTTCACTAGGGATTTTATTAAAATACCGTATGCAGTTACCTTGAAAAGAATTACTCGTTTTATGGAGCCTTTGATATATATATTTATATTAAGTATATATATTTGATCCGTACACTTATTTTATCCTTATTGCGTATATTATACTGATGAAAACTGCAATTTGTTTTGAAATTATGTACATTTTTTCGAGCAAACAAAACATACACCTCAGTACTTTACAGTTTAATTCAGTGTTACCTCTGTTACGTCAAATATGTCTTCAGTTTATTACCTAAAATAATGTATGCCATAAAACAATTAAGTGCAGTAAATTTGTTTAAACACACAATCTTCGAAAATAATGTAAACAATATTTTCCAATGCATGTACAAGTTTAGTAGGCTGAAGTAGTCTGAATTTGTAAAATGACTCAAATATTATTTCATAAACACCAAGTATATCTGTAAAATTACTTCTTTAAAGTGACAACCCTACTCAATGCATGTTTTTTTACCACATCGCAAAATACAATAAAATTTTACGTTGTTAGTTTTGCTATATATCTCTGTTTACCTTTTATCTGGAAAAGAAATTGAAGCTCAAAGCGTCCCTGAAAAATCAAGGACCGGAAGCAATCAACCACCATCCACTTCCGTCTACTTGTTTTAACTACCTTCACTCGATAATTAAATACAGAACACGATTTTTTACCATAAATATTCATACGAATTTGACGTTTACTACGAGAGTAGTTTTGACTATCAGCCCCTCCCAATGCCCTGAACGTGTAAGCCAATAGAAATAACTCAGTAATAAAATGTTGTCTCCGAAAATAGCTCTTGTATCTCCATATAAGTCTGATAAAGCCCTGTATTGCGTCGCGATTCAAAGAAAACAAATCAAAGAACATCGGGGCTTTCAATCAGGTACAACTCGGCTCGGTAGTCACTGAAGCCACAGTTTAAATCAAACAGTATCGCAGCAAATGAAAACATTGCGAGTAGACTAATATTTTATGTTCTCCCGTTTGTTGAAAAGCTTTTCGATTGGATAAATAACAGTTCATAAGAAGTAAGGAAAAAGAAATAACAAAACAGAGGGCAAACTTGATGAACGATAGAGAAGGAATAAAGACAAAAATTCATTTCATTAAATTTTTCATACGTTGCGTTCACATAACTGAACCTATTCTTTGGCCAACTATAAAACGATGACAGCCGAACCGTGAGCCAATGTATTTAACCTACTATAAAAATCAATGATAATCCCGAAGCAAAACTCATTCTCGCGTGAAGGGGTGCGGTCGATTCGTATTGTACTGTAGCAAATCTGATTACCACAGTGCACATACCAAGAATGTTACAGTAAGTTAACTTCTAAAACCCCAACTTACTAATCAAATTTGTGTCTAACGTGTCCAACAAACAATGCATAGCTTACGAACATGTAATACCTAAATTTGAGGGCCTTGTTGGATGGAGATGTTATAGCCCCTAAGTATGCGTTATATTTTCTCGTACTTATCCACTTATGGCTGTCAAAACATAATTATAGTTAAAAAGGTTAAATTAATCTTATGAATAAAACTATCTCAAAACTTTTATAAATGGTTTTTGAATGAATACAAACTGATTATTCTTTGAGTAGACTCTACTGTAGGTAAGTAGACTGTCGCACAGGTATCGCGGAAATTGCTTCAAAGTTTGGTCCATTATTCATCGCTCGAAACTCGCGTAGACTTTAGTAATTTAAAATTTGGTTGCATTTTGGATAATGATTGGCTATCGACTATCGGGCTCTCCTTTTCATGGCTTTCGAAATGGACCACTTAATGCCTGTATCCATTTTTAAGCGGAGCAGATTAAACTTCCATATTTACATGGCCATTATATCGAATTGAGTCTTTATTGTATTTAACACAAGTAAAAAAAACTTTAACGTAACATTGTATTAGTTAAACGAATAATATCGCGTTTTTTAAATTTATTTAAATGTGTACACTTGACGTAAACTATAGACAGTATTTAAGTAAGTATTGAAAAATATTATTATTAATTAACTTGACGCAATAGTTTAATGAAACGTATAAGTTCGTAGTAAAAATCGTAATTGCAAATAAGTGAATATACAACACTGCATAGTACACACAAGTAGTGTAAAGTGAGCGGATGAGATGATGGTGGTTTTTCAGTTTCATGATAAATTTAACAAATAATAACAGTAACGGGGTCGAATGTAGCATGCAATATAACTCATCGTTTATTAAACAATTTACTATTTCATAAAACATGAAGTAGATAGTTGGTTTGAAAACTATTATAAATATGTTAGTGTGTGCTAGTAAAATTTAATGTGCATTCTTATTTTTTAGTATTTCTTTTTGGCAGTTGGAGTTCTCTTTTGAATTCCCGAAAAAAAACTACTTCCAAATTATACTCTACTACTCTGTAATTGAACCGAAATATTTACAAGAAGCGTAGACACATTACTATTTTAACGGACAAGTAATACGTAATATATGTTGTAAAATTTTATGAAGGTCATGACAAAGGGTATAAGTTTGATTTATGATAGACATTATTTATGGCGAGATTCCTAACAATTTATAATTTTCGGTATCGCAATTCACAACAAAAGGCCTAAACCGTAAAGGTCCATTAAGAACATACATCTTAAAGTCGAGTAATTTATTTGCATAAATACATGACATATTAAACGCCGTAGAGAAACTGATAAAGTGGTATTTTGCGTAAGAGGTAATCACGAGAATTTAAATTTGTTATATGTGTAAGTTATCGTTTAGAATTTTTAAAAAGTTCTTTACAAATACAAAGTATAATTCATTTTAGTTGAATATGAATAATTTAGGTGCAAATGGAGCAGTTTTAATGATAATAAAAAAAATATTAAACCTCACCTGAGTTATACTCCAGTAGCGGTCGAGAGATATGAGGCACAAGTTCATTATGGACGCGGTACACAACAACACATCCATCGCGGAGTGTATCTCGCACCACCAGAAGCCGAAAATCCAGTAGCCCATGAGTTCGTTCGCGAGCGAAAACGGCATTATCACTAAACCGAGAAAGAAGTCGGACACTGCGAGCGAGGCGATGAACCAATTCTGTATGTTCTTCAACGCCTTCTCGGTCACTATCGCTATGATCACCAACATGTTCCCCACCACCACCATTATCATGAGCACCGTCACCACCACCGACGCGATGATGATGTGCGCCGGCGAGTACCCGCTCGGGTACCACGTCTTCAGCACGTAGTGGCCGATCGTCTCGTTGATCGTCGAATTTAGCTCCGATCCGTTCTGCAAAGCGAAGAACTCCTCTTGGCTCAAGTAGCTCGGAATCAGATGGGTTGAGTTCGTTTCATTCCAGCTCATCGTTCTACCAAATGTGATATTTGGTAGCATTTTGATCCAGTCGACTCTAGCTAAGCGATTTTGGCCCCGACGTAACGCCTATAGGAACGGATTGCTGCATTGCCGAAGTCCGAGCGAACTATTTACACTTATGTACAACCTAACCTAATATTGCTTCTGTTAAATTAAAACTAAGTGCAACGAAACGCGATCACTAAAGCGATGGCTATTCGATTATTTAATCGAATCGATAACGCGGCATCATCGCGCATTTCTATACTTTCTCCGATCCCAAAATCGATCAGTCTTCGCGAACATGTTTGATGTTGATTTTATCACATTTTTATTATCATTTTCCTGCGCTCGCGCGGCTGTCACGAGAACGCGGTTAATGCATAGTCACGTATTCGCGTTTCCGTGGATGAGAAACGATTATTTTCTTGATTGACGGGTTCAAATTACTACCTGTAACAAGAGAAATTGTATTTCATTACTTTGTCTTACAATATATGACAGTTAGACGAGGCGTGTTCTTTGTTTCGAGATTACTGAGCACTTTTGACATGATAAAAATGAACTGAAACCTTCACCTGCTATAAATGATAAAATTTGTGATAGAAATGTGTATTTTTTACCGAATTGGGTCGTAGGTAAAAGTAGAAGCAATGAAAACAGTATAGTAGAAATATTTCTTATTTTAAAACTATCAAATCGGTTGAATCAAATCGGTGATTCCTGAATTTAGCGCATTTAACAAAACGCGAGTTAAGTATTATAATACTTAAAATAATATTGTCAAAATTGTAATAGCTGATATCAAAACGCAAACAGTTACCATTTGCGAAGAAGCGTCGACAATTTAAAGGCTTTTAATCAACGTCGGTATTTTGTAATCTCCGTGATAAGGAAACACGAAATTACTGAATCCATACTCCGCTGATTCCACTAAGACATAATCGTGATTAAGGGCGTCGCCGTGATATTACTTGTAATTTTACATTTTATAGTCTTCTTTTGTTTCACTTGTCACCTCTGGCACGCTATTAAGAGTATAGTCGCGACTATAAATAAAACGTTCTTATTGTAACTTGTCTGTCTAGATTCTAGAATATAACTCAGTTGTCTGTGGGTAGATCATAAGCATTCATTGCTTTCATTATAGAAACAGTGACGTCTTCAGTATTTGACCATTTATATTGAATTGTAGTTCAATCTTTTAATATAAATTTAAAAAATTATAGTTATATTTTACCAAAGATATTTTCAATTTACTTAACAGTGATATAGCTATTGGTTAGTTCACGCGAAAAAAACACTTTTACCGGTTCAAAACGCGGACACGTAAAAGTCGGGCCATAGTTAAAATAAATCGTAAATAAGTTATTTAATATAGTTTAAGTTTTTGAAAGTTAAAAGTGTTTTATTTTAAAGTAATATAGCTTATATGTTACGGAATACCTAGTACTGTGCTTTTATCAACACAGACTTTTCTGGAAATAGAGCAACAGAAGCGAAAGATAGCATAATTGTTACAGCATAATAAATTAAAAAATAATTGTCCTACACCTGATTTATCAGACGTCATATAAATTATGATTTTTAATAAAGGCTCGCTAAATTACGTTGCGTCAAAACCCCGTATCGAATATGAAATACTTATCAGGCTGATCTTTTGTTTCATTTAAACGCTGTCAGTTTAAAACATAAAACACCTTTGCCGTAAAAGCGAATATTAAAACGATAAAACAGAACATTGTATTTTATTATTTACTTATCATTCAAATAAATTACACGCACGAACCATGAACCGCTATTCTTGTTCAAAACATCATAATATTTTGTTATTGTGTCGTTATTCTAGAAATTTATGCTTTACGGAACCCGTTTTTATATTTTGTAATCTTCCTCGGCGTACATTATTAACTTTTAATCTACTTACGTAATATGCGTCATAGATCATATGTTGTGCGTGAAATAATAAGTATATACATTTGTCGTATAATATTTCAATCATTATTTATTATTAAAGACCATGATTCATAATACCAATCCTCTTAAACTTCTTTTCAAAAGCTGAGATAAAATAGATTTTTAACTGTTAAATTTTTAATTATAGTGTGGAAAATTCCTTCTTTTATTTGTATGAAACTTTATCTTGTGACATATATTCAATTTCATTCAAATTGTGCTCAAGTGGTTATGACTAATTATGGCAATCATATAAGAATATAGGAAAATGTACGTACGTAAAAGTGGAATTTGAGCAGTGTTTTTTTACAGTAAAAAATTTATAGTGTAAAACGCTGGGTATTATAAAATTATTAATAACTATTTAACTTTAAAAAACCCGTACTCAACGTTACATACATAACGTATTGCTAAATAACTTTAGTGTACCTGCTAAAAGGATCATAATAAAACTTAAAGCAAAGATACTTTTTTAATAGCACCGAATAACAACTTGATTAAAAATTTGGGACTGGGGCAGCACTTGGATCGGCATCCAGCGTACCGCGCTGTTGCTCTAACCAATTGAGTTACCGTGTGCTATCAAACTTATCACATATTCTATATTATTTAACTGTAAGAAAAAGAGTTTATTCGAAACAAAATTAACTTTCAGCCATAACACTTGCTTTTAGAGAATCTTAATTATCTCATATTCGCGAAACGAAACGTCAACTGTCATCCCACAACCTTGACACGGCACTTGAAAAGAATAAAAGGATTTTCCACTCGTCGCTTCAAAAACGTGTAATTAAATAACGCAGCGCATTCTGACTATACGATACTGTGTTTACTTTAGAATATATTAGTAGGATTAAAGTTCTTTTTGGAATAAACTATCCTCTTCGGAATCGATAATTTGTAGACAATGGCAAGTTTATAACTGACTAGCTGTGTTGTTTTTGAAAACCTCCTCTTCGCCTTTATAGTTTAAAGCTGTTGCCTACGACGTCGAACGCGTCCCGTCGTTCTTGCAAGTTAGTCTTAAAAGTAGATATTTACTGTAGCGAACATCTTTTACATCATTTAAGGAATCATTCTTTGATATATATTTTTTTATATCTTGAACCGTTTTCGTAGCGTACGCAACGAAAAATAACAAGGGTGAATAATTTTCCCCGTTCTTTGTAAATTTCGAACACTATCTTCACATCTATTGGTCACAGCGTGACGTTTTAAAGACTTCCTCGGAAAAAAAATTCAATTGAGTAGTCCCTGAGATTAGCGCGTTCAAAACAAAAAAAACTCCTCAGTTTTAAAATATTAACATAGATTTCAATTTTGCTTTTCGGATTTTAACTTTAAGTAGCCTGATATTAGGTACCTTGTTTATTTTTATAATTTAAGAACACAAATTACACTATACGTGTTTAATCCAGTTAAATACTTATTTTAACAACAATAAACACGTCATCGTAGCTATTTTAAGTATGCTATAATATAGTTTTCCGAGAGGTAATACAGGATAAGTCCATTTTCTGGGGCCATCCATTTCTCAGCAGACACAGCGCGTCAATCATTCGGACGTTTCGCCAAAACGCTGTAAACACTCTCCTGCCACCACGTGCTGGATCGCATTCGATCCAATTAAAAGAAAGTCGGCCACCTGTTCACTAGGGATGCTCCAAGCCAATGACAATTTATCGACCTCGATATATATTTGGGGATGATAATGACATTAGTAGGTTTTTTCTTTAGAAGAGCTTGACTAAAAATACTTTTTATAGACAATAATTTTTTTTTTAAATAAAATATTGTCTATAGTTTTGCGAGTAGTACACATTTAAATAAAACTCTTTTCACGGTTTAAAGCGGCGAAATGTATTAGTTAAACTTATTTACAAAATCTTATTGTTTTTATAGTAAAAACGGTTGTAAATGTTGCTTTTTAAACTGTTAAATGTGTTTTACTATATCTAAAACTTTTAAATGAAAGTGAACATTGAATTGTCTAACTTCGAAATAAACTACGCTGTTTTTGTACGTAGCAAGTTTTATTGAAACTTAGTCTTTGCAGTGCTGAACTGAACAAATGTGAAAATTTATACTATGATTATAATAAGACGAAGGAAACAAAATACCGCCGCAGAAATTCAACAATTATCTCTTCGAGCTAAACTTTCAAAAACAATTCAAAAGCCACAAACAAAACTGTTCAAGTTAAACTAAACAACAACTTAGTGACCGTGCTTGCCAAATGGCACAGGTGGTTTTAAACTTCTATGTCAGGTGACCGTTTTCACACTCGCCTCAAATTGTGTCATTGGAGACATAAATTATGGAAGTAGAATAGCTTTCCGTTTTTACTTAACGTTTTGGAAGTAGATGCTTATTTTAAGAGACTACTTGCTTCAAAAATTAAAAAATCAATTATAAAGTGAAAACATTTACGACACGGGCAGGACGTGAACCGAAATGACTGAATTGAATCTTTATTTAAATCTAGGCTCTAAGATGAATGTATCGATAAACTAAACGGCACTAGCCCTTCGCCCTAGGGCTGTCAGTCACTCGAGCAATTAATTAGTCAACGGGCCATCGAGCCCCTTTACAGATTTACTCATTGATTCGTGTAGTTTTTCTAGTTTCACCTCTTTCATAAGTCCAACAACTTAGGAGTTTTATTGTCTAACCAATTTGGAGCATTCAATGATTACAACAGCAAGTTAAATTGAACATTAAGGAGGATATACAATTGATGTGAAACATGAACACTTTAATTGGTTTGAAACGAGGACATAGTTGGTTAACTTGTTTTATTTTTTTGTACTAAATTACGTGTGTTGTTTAAATGTACTACTGGCATAAACTACAAAATATAGGAAAAAGTATATTACGGGACATATACTGTTTAAAATTATAATTTATACACACATGCGTATTTTATACAGTACATATTATACCTTATAATCTACAATATAGTGTGGCGAGTTTTTTTTTTAAACAGGAGGCCCAAAAGCACATGCTTCACTTGATGATAGTTGAAACACCGCAGCCATGTGGCATCTCAACAAGATGCGCTGTTGACCTTTTTTGGCCACAGA